AATCCGGTAAAAAGCAAATTTGGAAGGTCGTTAGAGGTTTTTTATTTAACAAAAAAAATTATTCTTGTGAAATTTTTATGTGGGGTCCTCTCAAACAGACAAAAACTTTATGCAATCAACGTAAAAGTCTCTGTAAAATTAAAGCAAAAAGTCTATACCAAGAAGGTATAACGGGCAAACTCAATTTTAAAAAGTTGTTTGCAGAAAAAATCCAAGTTTTTTTTTATTGATTTTTTATTTAAATTTTTTAGAAGCTTTACGTTGATGGCTTGAAGTTTTCTCCGAAGAATAATTATCTAGAATATATCAGTCCTCTAACGAACTTCCAAATTTGTTTGTTTGCGGAGTTTCTTGAAGTAAGGGTCAAAACGACCTTTTTAGGCGGGAGCTAATGGGTTAGCATGTTCTACGCAAATATTTTTTCCATGAAATTTGATTTTACATATATTTATGTCTTACGACCTAATTTCGCTAAGATATTTATTTTAAAATATTTTTTCACTTTTTTGAAAACTACTTAGGCCGAGACGAGTTCAAACCAGCCCGAACTGACATAAAATTGTCGCACAGTGTTATACACATTTGATAACAATTCCCTATTTCTTCTCCGCTTTTTGCAAAAAAGGCAATTTTAATAATCCTAAAGTTTGCTAATTAATTCGGTAGATATTCTGAGATCATCGGCTCGAATACACACTGGCTGCTGCACTGCCATTGTGATTGCGTATTACACCACCACAGTGAGCACGTCTGAGTCTTCGCTGGCAGCTGGTGTCATTGATTTACAATTGATTGATCTCTTTCCGAAATCCTTTCGCGGACTATCCAGCGATCCGACAGTGTTCTTCTTCATATCGGAATTAGGAGTTTTATGCAGCAAAATTTGTGAATTGCGCTTTTGCACGTGCGCGTGATGCAGTTCAGTTTTGCTGGTCGCATTACCTCTACTCCCCGTTGCGCTCACCTCCATTTCACAGTCGAAATTCGATTCGCCACAATTGGTTGGATAAAGTGGCTGTGAACGATGCAGTGCTGAGGTGGAAGCGGCCACCAATGAAGAGACCGTCGCCAACTCTGGAGAAGGATTGAGGCTAAGTTCCATGCCATTGGTACGCCCCAGCGAGGTTGTCGAACCTTTTAGGGGATTCGTGTAGCGTCGTAGATTCTCTTCGTTCTGTAAGTTGTTCGATTTTTCCTCCTCATGACGTAGTGCATCCATGGAAGGTGTAAGATTGATGCCCGAAGTGGAGCGCGGATGTAAGCGTTGACGCCAAATGAGTGTGATGAACACAGCACATCCAATAAGCACAATGAAGATGCCACATAGAATGCCGATGAGTAGGCTGTTGTGGTTGCCCTCAGCTATGAGTGCGGTTTCTACTTTAACCTCAAGTATAGAGACCAGTGGTGCGAATTTTGCATTGCGCAGCTCATTCCTACGTTGCAAGCTATTAATCTGACGCGAAGATAACAGCTCGCCGAGCAGTCCAACAGTGATGGGCAATTCGGAATCAGATGATTTCGTTGATGACTGCAAAAGAGAAAGAAAATAAAAAATTTGTATTGCTTGTACTTATTTAAACTCTTTTACTTACCACTGTTACTTCTATGGTGTCGTTAGTGCCTGTTTTCAGGTCACAAATAATAATGAGCATTGCTTCGTTGCTGTTTTGCGTCCGTTTTACCAGTTTCGAAGCCAGTAAAAAGCGTACGACAGAACAAAGTCCCTCCACTGAAGAGCCTTCGACAACTTGTTGTAAATCGAGCAGTATTGTGAGACGCGCGCAATTCTCATTCAACACCGCCTGGTTGGGCCAGCATTCGGGTTTTGCGGGTAGACGTGGAGGCGCCACGCGGCGCGATGGCTCCAGCGCACGACAATCGCCACGTACAGCGCAAGGCGTNTATAGAGACCAGTGGTGCGAATTTTGCATTGCGCAGCTCATTCCTACGTTGCAAGCTATTAATCTGACGCGAAGATAACAGCTCGCCGAGCAGTCCAACAGTGATGGGCAATTCGGAATCAGCTGATTTCGTTGATGACTGCAAAAGAGAAAGAAAATAAAAAATTTGTATTGCTTGTACTTATTTAAACTCTTTTACTTACCACTGTTACTTCTATGGTGTCGTTAGTGCCTGTTTTCAGGTCACAAATAATAATGAGCATTGCTTCGTTGCTGTTTTGCGTCCGTTTTACCAGTTTCGAAGCCAGTAAAAAGCGTACGACAGAACAAAGTCCCTCCACTGAAGAGCCTTCGACAACTTGTTGTAGATCGAGCAGTATTGTGAGACGCGCGCAATTCTCATTCAACACCGCCTGGTTGGGCCAGCATTCGGGTTTTGCAGGTAGACGTGGAGGCGCCACGCGGCGCGATGGCTCCAGCGCACGACAATCGCCACGTACAGCGCAAGGCGGCGATAGACAGGCCTCACTCATCGTTGGCACGCATACCTCGTGTTGCTTGCACGCGCCGGATAGATTTGACGATTTCGTCGTAGCATCCACTTTAAAGCAGTTCGGTAAGCCACACCAGAGATTCGTGCAGCGCGACGTGCCATTCTCACAGATACAGGCATTACAGTACTCGTCAGTGCTGCCAGATAGCGCCAGCTCCAACCAATCGGATTGACTTTGATTCAAAGCATGATATGGCGAGAGTGTGTTGGTAGAATTAATGCAGGCGGACTTGGGATCGGAAAGCACTGCAAGAAAGAATAAATTTCTCTTTTATTATTCGTAAATTATCGCCTTAAAGAAGCAGCAAGTTGACATACAAATTTCGCAACGCAGCCCATGTCTTCCCGGCGGACAAATACACGTATAACCACCTATGCCATCAATACAGGTTGCGCCGCCCAAACACGGTTGCGGTGAACATTCATTCACGTTGATTCGGCAATCAGGTCCAGAGAAACCTTGAGCGCACAAGCAACGAAACCAGCCGGTGCCGGATTCGCAGGTACCACCATTATGACATGGTTGTCCGCTGCACTGGTCAATCGGTTCGTCACAGAATACGCCATGCCAGCCGGACGCGCAGCGGCAATGGGACTGTAGACTTTTCTCAATAGAACCTGGCAGGCACGTACCACCATTTTGGCATTGACCGGCGTAGCATTCATTAGCGCGCTCTGAGCAACGCTTACCTGCAATAGACGGAAACAAAATAAGGTAATTGAGGAGATTAAAATTGCGTATGTTTTACTTATAGACATTGTGAAAATACGAGTAATAATATAATAATAATTTGGCGGTTACACTTTTTGTTAAGTGTTGACCGAACATTTTGGGAGATGTTTATCTACATATATATAATTTATATTACATGGTCGAAACATCTGAATTCACTGATGAGATCACCCACCTGATAGGTCCGCTGGTAAAATCGGTTGGATGAGTGCAGGTTAGGTTAGGTAAGCTGGCTAGATTTTCGGCAAACTTGAAAACCATAATGTACCCTACCTTGTCAGCGGCTTCCAGGCTAGACAGAAAGCCTGCTCCTAGGATACTTATTCGCAGTCTGAGCAGGAGACTTACAACAGGATACCAACAGGAAATATCCCGTACTAACACCCACCAGTAGCCTGGCACCCTCCCTCTTGAGGAGAGAGTTCCTTTATGTCATACGCTCCGCACAAGTTCCTAGATATATTCGAACCCTGCGTTATAGTCCACGCCTTCTGCGCCGGATCATGGACATGTCGAACTCCCGTTTAATTGCCTGGGGGGGAAATCAGCCCCTCATCTAACAGCATAGTTTCAGACAGAGCTCTGTCTTTGGTAAGCCTGTGGATCTCTTCGATACCCACGACGCCGGTATGCCCACGAAACCAAGGTCAGACTTACGTCAGTACCACCATGTAGCTGTGCGATAGAAGCGCCTTTATTGCAGCCTGACTGTTGATGTAGAGTTTCAACTGTTTGTTTACTAGGTTACCGCCTCTCTTTATGGCCAATACTTCCGCATGGAAAATGCTGCATTTAGCCTGGCGGCAGTTCTTGACGTTGGTGTTGTCCTGAGTGCTCCTGTCTTGCTGATCATTGATAGCCTTTATATAATTTCAAGTCTTTTAAGAAATGTTTTCTGCTCCATTGCTGTCAACCAAACGGTTCTACTCATGCAACGGAGCAGCGGCCTGACTATCGATGTAAAGATCCACATTTAGGCGCAATGGCGCCACGACAGCTCGCTATTGAGTGTTATTCCGAGACACTTGGGGCTTTGCTTCAGCTGGAGGGTCACCCCATCCAGCTAAGCTGAGACAAGTTGGGAACCCAGTATCTCCTGGTGAAGAGTACCAAATCTGTATTTTCTGTGTTAATAACACTTCGGTTGCTCAAAGATGTATATCCCGTAGTGCATCGCTCATAAGTGAGCTGAGTGTGGACAGACACTTACCGCTTACTATGACAGAAATATCATCTGCAGTATGATACATTTTCTTAAATATCCTATTGCCCACCAGCGACCAAAGTAGCGGAAATAATATGTCCCCCTCGACATCACCTAACAATCTGATGGATCTCCTTAAGGAGCTACAATTGACAGAGGTGCTGTAAGGAGCAAGAGGGCACAATAGATCCCCTGGTCGCAGTGAATTTCTCAGCCGAATATCTATCAATCTAATACGTCCCCTTGTGGTGTACCTTCGCAAACCGGTTGGGTCGTCTCATGCCAATCCCACTGCGCCGATACACTTCTGCAGCTCAATATACTGCTTTTCCAGTTCCATATTATGGGATGAATTCCTATTGTCGTCAATCCGCCTAAAATGGCTTGCTTACAGACATTGCGAATTCTCTGTTCATAAGAGCCGCCGCTATGCGTCCAACAACATTGTGTAGTATTTACCCAACTTCCTGTAAGCGTGTTGTGCCTTTGATAGCATGTGCCCTGTTATTGACCTCTCCACGGTCTTTTGGGGAAAGGAAGTTAGGCTAGTGGGCCTATAGTCCTTGGGGTATGCATTGCCACATCTGCCACTTGAATGTGCCACAACTTTTTTTTTAAATGTCGACAATCAAAAGTTTTAGAGATAAGCCCATATATATCCGCATTAGTAAAAAAATTAATTTAAATTACAAATTTATTTTTTACATTGTATCTGCTCTAAGCCCGTTCCCTGATTGCAAGAATGCATTTTTATCAAATTTTTTTTTTTTTAATTTGGGTTAGCCGGGCATTTTGCTATGGATCTGCGTGATTGATTTCCCAGAATTCGCTGGTCCGGTTTTAATATTTTTGGTCGCTGTAGTACCATTGTGCGCCGTTTAGGGTTTAGTCCCCAATTCCCCTAGAAAATTCTCAAGCAAGTGCATTATGCTACAAAGAATTTTCGTCTAAAATCTTCGACGTTGAATTTCCATTTAAGTTTGCTGTCTACCATGATTCATGATTCATGGTCCATGAAAGCAATGATAGTATCCTGCCTTCGAAAAACGGTAGTTTGAATTGTGGGATTTCGCCACTTTTAGCAATCGTTTTCTATGCTTGAAGCACATTTGTTTCTTCCTCAGTAGCCTTAGTTGTGAAGCTTCCAATATATGAATGTGTTAAAATCATTAAAAACTTAGGCGCGAAGTGAGTGCTGGTAATGACAGATGAATCAGTGACTTCGTCTATTCTGCAGCTCCTTCAATTAAGCTTCTTATGCAAACACTTTCATTCAAACAAACGACATGCAAGTGCTATCTATTTATTCAGAGGAACACAAATTTTATTCTCTTCCCTCCCGACTGCGTTTGTTTTTATTAGAAAATAAATAAATTACATTTAATTCAGTGTAAATGTACCATGTACGCAGCCAATTGAACAAATTCCTTAAATTATTTCTCAATGCAATCCCAGCTAAATTTTCGACACTATCGCACATCGGTGTCTATTTATGTATGCATGTACATATGTATGTATGTAGATTGCTAGTTGGCCTGGCTAGGGACCTGCTCATTTGGGACCATCTCAATTGGCGTACACTTGTAGCTACAGAATATATATTTGCAAGCGATCGTTAAACATGCACGCATGTGCATTTGTATCAGCGCTACAAATCGGCGTACAAGAAACGAAATGCAATTTATTATTTCACTGTCACATCCTGCCACCGCCGCTACTGCTAACCGCTTACGGCTGCTGAAGTTGGCAAGAAGTACGAAAGAGGCTTTTCCAACACCAAATCACTGCATTCGCACTCCTACCAACCAACGACTTGTGCGCATGCAGGCAATACAAAGTTTCAAACACGAAATGGCAATTGGAAACGCGATCTTTACGTTTCGTATTAATTCGCTTTCAGGTTTAACACAATCCAACAAGACAGCGGATTTGTAAGTGAAGTGAACGTATATGTTTAGGAGTTGAGGAGAAGAGGAGCGCTCACCCGAAAAAAAAACGAAAAAGTTTGAGTCAAAAAAGTTTGCAAAGGACAGACATACTGAATAAAAAAGACGAAGAGACAAAACGATATGAGGTTAAACGGATCCGGCGGCGAATGATCCCAACATCAGATAAAAACACTTCACACACGATTAGGAAATTTTAATTAAAATATTTTGTATTCCCTTTCCTTTTTTTACACTTCGCATGTTGCGAATTTCTGCCGGGAATCAGGCATCGATAGTTGAACGCACATGTAGTCCTCAAGTTCTCTAAGAAACAAGTTTTCATTTAAATCCTTCCATAATTGTGTGGCGTGGGAATAGGGCTGTTAGATTTCTTGTATCCGAAAACCCCCAGAACGACCCTTTCATGGTAAAAATATTTGCATTCAAATCAAACTTCCTACAAATCGCCATCGGAAAACTGAAAAACACCATAACTTAGCGGCTTCAGCTAGCCAAACCACGAACAAAAGATGCGTCCATTGGGTTGCTATTTTAAAACTTCTCCTGAAAAAGCCCAAAATTTAGCATTAAATTTCCAACTGTTCCTTTCAATGCACCCACTTGCAAGTGCTGCTTCTATGGCGAAAAATTCAGACTTATGTATATACATACTTATATACCAAAACTTGTATATACATACATGCATACATA